ATTCCTTTCATAGAATGTTAATAGATTTTACCTGAAAAATATGGCCCCCTTGGTGAATTTAGTTTTGGAAATGCTGTTAAACAGACTTCCTTACCACAGGGCATCCCAGAGTCTTTACTATATTTATTTGCATTGTGACCCTCCAAGAGAGGAATGAAAAACTCAGTGTTTCCAAAACTCATGTGGGAAACTCAGTGTTTTCCACACTGGAAACATTTACTGGGGAGCATCTTGGGAAAGCAGAAGCATGGCTGGCTTTTCACATCATGGGAAGTGGCCTCAGGGCTGAGGTGAGTGGGCATTAGTGGGGAAAGTAACTTATCTGAATGGCTCACATAAATACTGGTGTCTAAAAGACATTCTCCACTAAATTAAACTAGGGCTCCTTGAGAAATACGTAATTCCAGGGCTAGGGAAAAGAAAGTGCTAGATAAGCCTGAAACAACTTTTCAAATCAGAAAGTAAAGAAGTCCTCGTAGAACGGACAGTGACAAGTGAAAAGAATATAGGGGCTTACAGGAAAAAATGAAGGATGGTTTCAGCATCAAAGTAAATTATGTTAATAAAGATTAGTCCATCAAATAAAATAAGGATCTACAAGTACACGCTGGTATAAATAAATAAATGAAATTTTGAAATGGAGAGAAGGAAGAAGTTCTACCTTGTAGTAGAATGCAAATTAACATGTAGAGAAATAACAATAGAATATAAAAATCACCATTTGGCAACCATCATAGTAATAACTGACTAAGGCAAGAATCATCAATGGATCCTAAAATTAGTGGGTAAAAATTTTATGGTGAATAAGATATTTACATAGCTTAAGAATCAGTGGACATCATGTCAGTAAATATTTGTCAAATGATTAAAACACACACATAAACACACATACATATATACATTTTAACACGGAATGGCAAAGTAGACGGGGTGCAACCTTAACAATGGGGAATCTGGGTGAAATTTGAGTTCTTTGTTCCATTCTTTCAATTTTTTAAATAAATTTGAAATCACTTCACAATAAAAGGTAAAGTACTCTACAGGAAAAGTCCCTTCTCTTACACTGCTTTGGTAATGACAGTTCGAGCTGCTCAATTCAATCAATTAATTAATGTTCTACCCACTTTACTCTTCACAGAAGCCTTTGCCACTGACCAGAGGAATGGATGACCCCTCCCTTGGTTCCCAGGACTGAGTGCTCCTTCCTTGGATGGCTTCTGCTGGGGATGTTTTTTTTTCCTCCAGTTGAAGAATCACTACGTAGTGATGTTGCTATGCCTCTCAACCACTTTTTCACTCACAGGCCCCAGAGAAATCACAAGCCATACTATTGACTTCAGGCCCACTTAACTCAAGGGTAAGTTTCTTTTAAAATGTTCTGACTCGCCTTTCCCAGTAATTCACAGGCACAGAGCTTGTGATTTTACTACACTTTGCAGGTTCCATGGTTTTTGCATCTTATTAAAAGGTGATTGCTTTTCTCTTCTTCAAATTCTTTCAATGCTTCTAAATAGAAAACTTTAAAGTCACCAAATGGTTTCCTCAAATCCTCCATATCGTCTAGCATAATGCAGGGCATATATTAGGTGCTAAGTAGGAATTTCTTGACTTACTGACTGGAACATATTTACCTGTTCCTGTACGACTAGAAAACATTTCACTATATAGGCATATGCTAAGAAATGCTACAATAAATATTTCAGCTAAATTAACATTTTTCTCAATTACTTTCATTATACAACCAAAGATACAATAATAAAAATCACAGATAAAATTAAGAAACACTTAAAAAGAAAGAAATATTTTGCTAGACTCTATCAGTGGTATTCCAAATTTTAAACCTCAAGCATTTTGGAATAACATATCATGTACTGTAAAGGAACCAGTGACAGATAACCGTATTTAAAGCCAGAAAGATGTTCTACGATTCAAACCATTTCATCTGACTTCACTATAATCTAGTGCTTCCATACAGAAATCTCAAGGCTTTTAAGATTTTAATTACCATCTATTTTTGAAAATAAACTTAAGGTCCAATGATAGTGCTTAAGATCTCAATCTCTGGAGTCCAACATACAATAAGACCACTTACTGAGGAACCTCAGGCAAATAACTTTATCAAGCCTCAGTCTCCTCATCTGTAAAATAGAATATTAATGGTACCTAAAACAAAGAGTTGCTATCACGCAGAAATACAATGGTATTTGTAAGGTAGGTGGCATATGTTAAGCACTCAACAAATACTCAGTATTATTATTATTATTATTGTTATTACTGCCATGATTAAATAAAAATAAAAAATAAAAAAACCAGGATCCCCAAGTGCATACATAGAATGATTCAATTTCACTAAAAGGGCAAAGCACATATAAACATATATATACATGTATTTATATGTACATACTTAAGGTATTTATACATATGTTTTTATATATATTCATGTGTTGTTTAACAATGGGGATACTTTCCAAGAAATGCATTGTTAGGCAATTTCATTATTGTGTCAACATCACAGAGTGCACTTCCACAAACCTAGATGGAATAGCCTACTACACACCTAGGCTATATGGTATAGCTTATTACTCACAGGCTACACACCTGTATAGCATGTTACTGTACTATAGGAAATTGTAACACAATGGTAAGTATTTACAAATTTAAACTTATTAAACATAGAAAAGGTAAAGTAAAAATAGAACATAAAAGATTAAAAATGGTACACCTGTATAGGGCATTTGCCATGAAAGGAGTTTGCAGGATGGAAGTTGCTCTGGGTGAGTCAGTGAGTAAGTGGTGAGTGAATGTGAAGGCCTAGGATATTACTGTACACTACTGTACACTTCATTAACATTGTATAATTACGCTACACTAAATTCATAAAAAAATTTTTTCTTCCATGATAAATTAAAATTTTAATTTTTAAAAAACCCTTTGACTCTTTTGTAATAATATTTGGCTTAAAACACAAACATACTGTACAGTCATACAAAAATATTTTCTTTATTTATATCCTTATTCCATAAGTTTTTTTGTTTTGTTTTGTTTGTTTGTTTTTGAGACAAAGTCTCGCTCTTGTCCCCCAGGCTGGAGTGCAATGGTGTGATCTTGGCTCACCGCAACCTCCGCCTCCCAGGTTCAAGCAATTCTGCCTCAGTCCCCCGAGTGGCTGGGATTACAGGTGCCTGCCACCACACCCGGGTAATTTTTGTATTTTTAGTAGAGATGGGGTTTCACCATGTTGGCCAGGCTGGTCTCGAACTCCTGACCTCAGGTGTTCCGTTCCGCCTCTGCCTCCCAAAGTGCTGAGATTATAGGCATGAGCCCCTACACCCAGCCCAGAAGCTTTTTTTCTACTTATTTTATTTTTTTTAAGATAGAGTCTTGCCTTGTTGCCCAGGCTGGAATGCAGTGGTGAGATCTCGGCTCACTGCAACCTCCGCCTCCTAGGTTCAAGCGATTCTCCTGCCTCAGCCTCCCAAGTAGCTGAGATTATAGGCGCGTACCACCACGCCCAGCTAATTTTTGTATTTTTAGTAGAGACAGGATTTCACCATGTTGGTTAGGCTGGTCTCGAACTCCTGACCTCGTGATCCACCCACCTTGGCCTCCCAAAGTGCTAGGATTATAGGCATGAGCCACTGTGCCTGGCTCTCTACTTAAATTTTCTTTGTTACTTTGTAAGTTTTCTTGTTAAAAATAAAGACATAAACATACACATTCGCCTAGGCCTGCACAGTGTCAGGTTCACCCATATCACTGCCTTACACCCCCACATCTTGTCCCATTGGGAGATATTCAGGGGAACAACATGCATGAAGCCGTCATCTCCTATGATAACAATACCTTCTTCTGGAATACTTCTTGAAAGCCTGCCTGAGGCTGTTTTACAGTTAACTTTTTGTTAATAAGTAGAATGAGTACACTCTAAGTGATTAAAAGTATATGGTATTATATGTATATAGAGAAAATATATTTTATATATATATATAAAAACACATCCCAGTAACAGTTGCTTATATTAGCAAGTATTATGTACTGTACATAATTGAATATGCTATACTTTTATACAACTGGCAGCACAGCAGGTTTGTTTACACCTGCATCACCACAAATACATGAGTAATGCATTACACTAGGACATTACAACAGCTATGACATCACCAGGCAGTAAGAATTTTTCAGCTCCATTATAATCTTATGGGACCACCATTGTATATGCAGTCCACTGCTAATCAAAATATCACTCTGTGGCACATGGCTATATTCTACATTGATATTTACACAAATATATGTGATATGTGTGTGTGTGTATGTATCTATATCTATACTGAGAGAGAGAAAGCACATGAGACTGCAAGGAACCATGAAAGAGATTCATAGAAAAAGATTTGAAAAAAAAAAAAAATGCACCACCAGAGGGGTCATCTAATGATCAATGAATAACAACTCATTTTTATTCTTACACTTCACTGTATTTTTCAGATTTCTTCTATGAACAGATATTACCTTTGCAAATATAACCATAAATATGCTATTTAAAAAAGAAAAAAAAAACCTTTCACAAGGATGAACCATATTTGTTTACAGTGTTATGTCCACAAAAATTTTGTTCACATTATTTACGATATGGATGGTCCTCAACTTACCATAGTTCAACTTACAATTTCTTGAGGTTATGATGGGTTTACTGGGAAGTCAGAGAGCTCTGTATGACTTCTATGATGGGTTACAGTTTCTATTGAGCTTTCACGCCATCATAAAGTCGAAAAATCTTAAGTCAAACCATAGTAAGTAGGGAACCATCTGCTATGTCACTGGCATTAAATTCGTTTTTGACTTAGGATATTTTTTATTTACCATGAGTTTAGAGAGATATAACTCCACTGTAAGTGAAGGGGCATCTGTAATTAGGAAAATACCATTTTCACTGCTTTACATAGCCTGCTTGCTTCTTTTCATCAGAGAATAACTATGAAGAAAAAAATAAGTGACATGATTACCCTCTGCAATTTCCACTCGGGTTGCTCACTGGTTCCATCATGTCCTATCCTTATCTTATATATGTTTCCAATGCTCCTTATTTCAACCTAAACGAAATGCAAAGAAGAAAAAAATTATCAGAATGTTTTAAATTAAGCACATTAAAAAATTCTTTCTCTTTACACTAAATGCATTTTTTGTTCCTAATAGTTAAAAAGCTCTCAGGAATTCTTTCAGAGTCTAGAAAAGAAGTGCCCTCAAGAAACAATCAGTGAACTTCACAGACACAGAGTATGAGACAGAAATATCATGAGACTTGACTAAAAATATGCAGAAGGAGTCAAATGAGAGAACAGGATGAAGAACACACATATGCTCAGTTCTCCGACTACCACACATTTCTCACTGGAAGCCAACACTTTCTGAGTTCCAATGACAGAAAGATGGGCTTGTATTTTAAGAAATAAAAAAAAAAAAACAATTTTTACCAAAGAAAAGCTAAATATGGTGATTTCTACAAGCTTAAGCAAAGCGTGAGTCTAGAACTTCCTTGTACTCTGAAAATCCTGTCGTCTTTGATGATACCTAGGTTAAGATATAGATGTTCTACGTTCAAGGAAGAGAAGCAAACCTGCCCACAGAATATGGGTGCTGCTTTAGTTTTTGATGAGGACCAAGAGTATTTGTTAATCCAAGGTAGCATTGTAGAGAACTGGCTTTGGAATTACTTGGAGCTCAACTGGGAGCCTGACTGTTGTAAACTGAGTAAAATATGGTTTTTTACTTCTCTTATCTTCAATTTCTTTATCTGTAAGAATGGTCACATAATGCTTATGGCATAAAATTTTCAGTTCAACTAAATAAATGTATATTGAAACAATAAACAATATGCAAGTCCACAGGTATGCAAAGATGAAAATGACGGCACTGTCTCTAACTTGGAGAAATATACAGCCTAGCAAGGGAGACAGACTTATAAGCAGATATTTTTAGTATAATAAAATATGTCCAGGTCACTGAACTGTGAGAATTTTTTTTAAATGTAATATACCACGCTATTACTTAATGGCTTACCTAACAGCCACTGTCATTATTTCTGCTATAGGTGCCAATCTACCTCTGCAGACTAGAGATATAAATAGGTAGGCACTTGCATATTATATCTGACTAGACATTGCCTACCTATGGACTAGACCCTGAAAGAGCTGGGACAGTCAAATCACGAAAAAACTATCAGAACTCCTCTTTCATACCCAGTTCCCATGCTTACAATTCTTTTTTTTTAAGTGCCCACCACCATTTTCCCCTACAGACTGCAGCAGCTAGAACAAAACTGGGCCTGTTTCAATACCAGGTCAAGAGAAATTATGCTGGTGTCAACTGGGAAGAAGGAAAATAGGGATGTTAATCCCCAACAGCCAATTTCCCCCACTTCCTTATTCCCAGAGCTGGTTTCAGTGGCAGAACTCAGAGGCTAGCTCTTCCTCCCAGAGAAAGCAGGAAGTTATCCTCCAGTTTGAGGCTACTTTGTCTCTAAAAGGTAAATCACACTTTAAATATCCTTTCATTGTCCCAAGAATCCATTAGCACTTAAGTGTAAACTTCCTTTCTGTACAATTTAAGTGAAAATAATAAAGGGATATCTGAACAGTCTGGTTACCAAGCATATGTGACTTGATACATATGTGCCTGTCACTGCAGAAGAGCAGAACTAACTGCTACTCAGCTCTGTGCCAGCCAGGCGGGAAAGACTTGATATTCTTGTCCCTGACAATTCACACAGTCACCCTGTGAAGGGTAAGGCTCTTTTAAGCATCTACTTTAAAAGATGAATAAACTCAAAGAAGTTAAGTCATTTGTCTAAGGATACACAGCTGGATACACAGAAAGTTCCAAAAGTAAAATTTGAACCCAGGTTTAATAAAATATCCCACATTGTCCTCAAAAATGGCTATATGCTCACTTCAGGACTGGAAAGAAGGAAAAGAGAATGAAAGACAAACTTAAAACTGGCAAATGATGCCAATTAAAAGGAACAAGAGAATCAATACTCACAGAGGAGAGAGAGTAGAAATGTGTCAATTCATCCTAATTTAGGATTCTCAAACTATCACAAGGCCCCAGTCCCAGAGCCCATTAACCCCTAGGCCAGTGCTTCTCAAACTTTAGCGCACACACAAATTACACGGGGATCCGGTTAAAACGCAGATTCTGATCCAGTAGGTCTGGGATGGGAACCAAAATTCTGTGTGTCTCACAAGCTCCCAGGCAATGCCCATCCTGCTGGCCTGGAGTCCACAAGACTCTACGCTCCTGGGAGCTTCCACATGTAGCCCCAATCTCCACCACTGAGGTAATAATCTAGAGCTATTCACTCTTCACAGTAAATGACAGAGGCAGGTAGAAAACATATCCTGAGCCATTTACCAGCAGAGCGAGAGTCCTTAGTGCCTGCAATCTGTCACCTGTAGAGCACTTCCCATCTACCGGGTACAGGGCACGACACACACCTTCCCAGGCATTCTTTAAATTTCACAGCAAGGTTTTTAAGTATTATTACCTACCTTGTACTAAGTAGGAAACTGAGGATTAGAAAGGATAATCAGTCTATTTAAGGTCACAAAACTAGTGAAAGGGTGATTTGAACCTGGTCTCTGACTCCAAGGCTTCTGTTCTTAACCAGTTTATGAGTTTTACTATATGTCAATAGGATTCCCTTTTTAATTTATACACATTTTCTCTTTTTGTCATCACACTACCTTAAAATTTAGAAAGAAAAGATATTTTTGCCTGTATTCTATACATAAAGATAATGCTGGACTGGAGAAATTAAGTGGCATATTCAAGGTCACATAACTAACATGTGGGAAGCAAGGACTCTAATCTAGCTTACCTGATTTGCAGTCTAGTGCTATATCCAGCATTCTCAACCTTGGTTGCACTTTAGAATCAGTTGGGGAACATCTGAAAACCTCAATACCCAGACTGCACCTCAGGCAAATTAAACTAGAATTTCTGGAGGTGGAATCAGGCATCAGTGGTTTTTAAAGCTCCCTGGGTAATTCCAATGTGCATCAAGACTGAGAATCTATACCATTCATTCCAAGATTTGACCATAAGTAAATTTTTCAGAAAAACATTGATAGGATTTATCAGCATATAAATACATATACCACAAGGTATATTACGGGAAAATTAGACTTTTGTGGGGTGACTTAGGGATCTAACCATACACACACATTCTGAATTCTAAACAATTATCTTCAAATAATCTTTTGAAATATGTATTTATATAAGGTATGGTTGCCTATGCAAGGAGCCAAAGTGCTCTTCCACAACTGCAGACAATTGCTTTTCTTCAATGAAAATTAACTTTAATGATTACAAAAGTAGAATGACAGGCTTAGGTCTGAAAATCTAGAAACCATTTGGGTATTAGTGATTGCCAGGTACCGTAGCCCCAAATAGCCTTGGGTTCCTGGCAACACGAGTTGTCCTCAATCATTCTCTATTCTCTAGTCAGCCTTAGGATGCAAAAGGAATACCCTCCAGAGAAAATGACTGCTGTTTAACAGTACACCAAAGAGCTTTCACAGGCAGTGGGGGTGGAAGGGTGGATTAGTGAAGTGGAATGTAATTGTCCTAATTGAAACTTGGCCAAAGCTCTGAGGAACTAGGAGAGGCAACCAGCCACATGCAAACTTAAGCAGCCCAGTGTTCTCTGACTCTAAGAAGTAAAAGAGAGAGAAATTAGAATGGGCATGGGCAGAGCTTCAAAACATGGCCTGTGAAGATGCCAAGGAAATTATTTCATTCTTAAGACTTTTTTAATTAAAAAGATGAAACAAATTTTATAAAAAGAAAATAATTTCACACCTGTATAGCTCAGCTGAGCAACATCTATAAGTATATGCAAGTATATAAAAGAAGAGTTTTCATTACCAGAAGAATCTCTATACAGCATATAAGTTGGTTATAAATTGAGATGAAGTTGGTAGTTTATAGGGCCAGTTCCAAACCCATGGTTTGAAAATATACTAAAATAAACTGTCTTTAAAGAAAGCAGTTTTTTCTACAACTTTCCTTGCTCGAATAAGATATGTGAGCAAAAATATTTCCTTTGATTGTTACAATAAGCATTATTAACTTACAGGCATTCTAAAAGACCAGAGATCCATTTTAATAGGAGACACACACACACACTTCTACATTACAGAAATGTCTTTGAAATGTTCACAGGAAAATATCACAGTGTTGTTTACCTGAAACTCATCCTCCTGTCCCGGAAGGAAGAGCTGCTCTGAGCTGTCCTTGCGAAGACTTATTGGCCCAGTGACTCCTTTATCTCCATACACCCAGAGAGTGACATTGGCTCGAGTTCCTGTATTTCCCGTCAGCACTAACACCTTCCATTCATCTTCTGACAGAAGAGTCTTACCACTTTGGAAACGTCTGATTTCTTCTATGGGGGAATAAAGCATTAGTGGCAGATCAGATACAACATCAGGCTGACAGAATCCTTTGTCACATTGGAGCCAAAGGACATGAAAACTGGGCAGGGTAGGGTGAAGCAAGCAGGAGGCACTGCACTGTGAGGACTCTAGGGAGCTGATTTGTGCTTGTCTCCTCACAGCAAGGTTCTGGTCAACTGACACTCAACCACCGAAGTAAACTGGATTCGAACAGTAAACATCTGACCTACCTGGCAATCTTTCACTTACCCAGGAGGGCAAACTGGAGTTTCTGTCCTATGTCCACAGATTTTTCATAAAGCTGCCTGCTTGACTTACATATTTTATATAGAACTACCACCACATAAAGTAATAAAAAGGGGGAATTAAAACTTGTTTTCACATACGATAAGTAAGTGACAAATTGAGGGCAGAGAAAAATTTTCTGAAATATTTCCAAAAAAAATAAAAAAATACCTTACTGGAGTGGGCAATGGAAAGGATTTGGAACTAAAGAGAATTTTCACACATACAAATTGTTCCTGAGGTGCTCAGAGCAGTTGTCCACGAGAGCAGGGCTGCACAGCACTTGTGTTTCACAATGCATTCTCTAGCAACCAGCAGTGCCCAAACACAGCCACTCCTGTTTGTAAAGAATGCCATGACGTCCCAAGCTAGAATGGCTGTCTTCTTCACACTCCCTTTCGCCTGTGGTCTCATCTGAGGAGATACTGGGCCAGGCAGTGCTGAGGGCATCTCCCATGCTACTCTGCACTGGTTGTCTGAAAGTACCCCAACAACTGCACTTTAATTCTTCACTGATATTTCCACTTTGAAATCTTATACACCCAAGATGATGAGGTAAAAGTTCTTCATGTCAAATGGTTAAAAGGCAGCCAGAGCTGATCTCCTTCCTTTAATTCTGTAGCTTGAAACTATACGCAGCCCTAGGCAGCACTTAGGATCTTACCGACAATGATGAAAAGCCCAACAAATATGAAATTATTCCTGCTAAGCTATAATGAACTAATTTTAAAATAAAAACCATGCAAAAATATACAAATAAAAACAAATGCTATGAAAGAACTGATATTCATTTTTTAAAGTTTTCTCTAGAATGTGCTGGGTAATCTCTGTCAGTATAACAGCTCTGGGTAATCTCTGTCTCTGGGAGTGACTGAACAATTTAATTGTTTTTAAGCTCCTAATATATGCAGGGTTCTGCGTTGCACCTTTTATATGCATTTCTCATTCAATCCTCATTCCAAACTCATAAGGTGAGTCAAATTATGATGTCCATTTTAAGAAGAGGAAAAGAAGCAGGGAAATTAAATAATATGGCCGAGTCACATAATAAGCAAACTATGGGATGTTTAACTGCAAAGCACCTGCACTTAAACAAGCTTGATAAGCATTCTGTATTCACCTAAACATAATTCACCAGGATGCAGCAGTGCTGCTAGCATGTGAGGTTTTCTTCTGCGCTGCACACTATCCTAAGCACTTAACATTCATCATCAAGTCACTCTCACTCAACCCTCATACTACTCCTATGAGGTGCTGTCCCCTATTAAGCAGATGGACAAACCGGGACTCAGAAGTGAAGTGACTTGCCCAGAATTACACAGGAAGTAACAAGGAACCAAACTTCAAACCCAAGCAGAGCAAGTGTGAATTCCACGTCATTTACATCAGAAATAGCTGACCTGGAAATGATCACAAAAATTGGTCCAACAAAATTTTATGACATGATCTAATTTTTAAAACTCAATGTTACATGTGAACATTTGGCCACTGTGCCTGACATTTCTAGTCAAATACACTTGGAATTTCCTCAGGCCCAGGCAACCTCACTACCAGATCTCTACTGACAAAGACTCCACAGCACATCCATGAGTTCCAGAGAGAAACTGGTGATCCTAGGTCAATGGTGAACATTACAGGATGTCGATCATTCACTCACTTACTATCTTACGGATATCTTAGTCATCTAAAAGAATCACTTTTACACAATTCGAGAAGACTTTAGTTCCTCTTAATTGCTGGGCATTGTGTTAGGCTCACTGCTCTCGTAATAACAGAACTGATGAAAAGTTTGAAAGATAAATAATGACAGTCACACCCTGGAGATACATGCTATCCAGCAGTGAAAACAGACATACAAATATCTGGATTTCAAACACTCAAATGCCTTCATGGAAAACCAACAAACAAAAAAAACTACTGAAAAGTTCCGGTGTAGCAGAGGGCAGGAAGTGAGTAATTAAGGAGTGGGCAGAAAAGGCTGCACAGAGGAAACCTCAGTGCTGGATGTAGGAAGATGGCTCAGAATTTTGCAGAAAGACAGGAAGAGCATTCTAAACAGATGGGACAGCATTCCCAGCATGTACATGGCTTGAAGCAGCAGGCATGCTGGAAGAACTGCAGGTGCCAATGTTCAGTTGAACATAAGATACTATATGTGAAGAGGAGAGACAGAAACGTGAGGATCATGGAAGGCACTGGTCAAGCTGGAAGGGAGTTGGCACATCCTTTTGCAAGCAAGAGAGAACCAGTCACAATTTTAAAGTATGGTGGTGGTATGAGCTAAGTATTAGAAAGATAGGTCTGAAACAGGGTGAACTATAGCAGGGACAGACTGAGGTAGGAAGGCCAGTGAACAAACATACAAAGAAACAAACTCTGAAATGAAATCAAGAGACCACGGTTATTTAGTCTGAATTTTTTTCCATGTCTGTGCATAGATGAATACAAATCTATGTGTGTATGTGTTTAGCTTGTTTGTTTGATTTAATCTGCAAATGAGTTGATGTTTTCTAAGGTCCCTTATTCCTGCATTAACATGTTCTTGCATCACTTGCACAAAAATAACACATTGTCAGGGTATACTCATATTATAAAAATTGATGGCTAAATATGATATAATCTATAATACAGAATGATGTATTAAAGTTTGTACTGTTATCAATTAAATATGAATACCATGTAATACTATGATCTTCTGGAAATGAACCAACGTCCATTAGTCTCAGACTATAAATTTCTGCTGAGAACTGAGAACCATAAAAGCAGTTGCTTTTGTTGACCAGAAGTTTAAAATACTCTAAGCTAGGAAAATATTTAATGCGGACCCTGGATTAGTCAATAGACTTCTTCACGGTCACCCTGAATAAAATCAATGGTACCTAAGATGTATTCATACGACTCAAAAACATCCTCTGTGAGGGTGACTGAACAATTTAATTAAACACCAATCAGGTTGACTCAAACCAAAAAAAAAAAAAAAGTTATCTACTTTGTGCTGCTGCTAGTCCACTGAAGCTCTAGCGGAAAAAATAAATTACTCATAGAAATAAATAACAAATTAGCTGATTCTAATAGTTCATGGGTTGATTAAAGTTGAGGTCAGCATAAGCATGAATTACCATCAGAGAGTGGCCATAAAGGGACAGCTTGTATAGCCTCTGTATGCTATTCCAAGATAGTATTTGAGAAAGTTGATTTACTCTAACATGTCATTGAAAACAACTGAAAACAAATGCTTCCTAATACCTGATAGTGTAATATCAGATATTTAAACCCTAATTTCAGAACATATAAATCTGAAAAAAAATAAGACAGTGAAAGCATTCCCCTATAGTTGTCTTGCAATGGATGAAATCTATTTCTACAAAATTAACATAGCCTTGTTATATTCATAAAGTTCAGTTTCTCAATTAAGGGATACAAAGCACAGGATGCACAAAGCTGGTACGGATAAGTAACATAGAAAACAGAATCAAATAATCAAAGGCATCCTAACATGCTTGCACACTGGATTAACACCAAGAAGATAAAAACTAACCAGTATCAAGGTAAAGGTCTGTGGCTTGGTTGAAAGATCAGTTATATGTTTTACACTGAAAGGATATTATGAATAAAATATCCTAATGATGTTAATATAAACCAGAAATGCAATAAAAATGCCCAAAACATGTATTCCAAGCTGAGACTGTATCAACTGATGTATAAGGTCCCATAAAAGGAATACCATTATTCTAAACTGTTCAGATTATATGAGAAGACAGGTTCCTACTTGGAGATTCACACTTTAAGAGAAATATTCATAAAGGTGAAGAGTCTAAAACCATACATAAAAAGAAACTATTAAAGCAATACATTTGACACAGATGAGAATATACTAAAAAGAAATACTGAGAATCCACTTTTTGGTATATTTATATACATATAAGATGAATATACTAAGAGGAAATGAGAATATACTAAGAAAAAACAACAATGGTTGTTTTATAGAAGAAGATATTGACTTTTTTATAAGCCAAAAGAATTTATGGGTAGCTTTTCTGCTCAACATAAGGAGGTACTTTCAAGTGATTAGGATGATTTGAAATGGAATGGTTTATTTCTGCACTTTTCCTATGAATCTCTATGTTGCTTACGATGTGTCAGGTCTCTTCAAATCCTCAATCTATGATGAAGGAAAACTTACAGTACCTTTACAATATAATTTACTACACCACGAGCATTAAAAAAATAAAACTATATTTCACTCTGGATGCCAAGTGCTATTTTTTATATTAAAAGGGACATAAAAATTACGATGAGAATAACCATTAATATAATTAATATAACTACTTTGTAATTCCATTTATGGGAATTATTCTAATGAAATAACATATAGATGAGCATCCATTACAAATTATAAGAAAATAGGTAAATATGTTATGCTACATCAACACAATGGATTATTTATAGCTATTACATTTTATTAAAAATATTTATTATGAAAAATCCTTAAATGATTAATACCTTCTATTAACTGAGAAGGTTACAAAATGATATATTTAATATAATCTACAAGTGTGTATACATACATATATACACAAGTATAAATACATTTTTAAGTGATCTTTGGGGAAGTAGCAAGATGATATAATTTTAAGATTTTCCTGTATGCTTTACGTATTCTAATTTCTTTCAGAATGAAATTATTTTTAGTCAAAGATGACTACCCAAGATTTTTCAGAATAAATTTCCTGACTACTGTTTTTAAGGAAGACTTCAACTAATAGATTTTTTTCTGCCCAGGTTTGTTTTTAAAGTATTGGCACCTAAACACATTTAAGAAAGAAAATGCCATGGCTGAGACTTTGGCCCAGATTAGGATTTGCCTGGCAACACTGTGGAGCATGCCACCACAAACAGATGATGGACTGGCAGGATGGCTGCACTGCACTGTTCAAGTGTCCATGCACAGAGACAAGTGACTGGAGCTGAGACTTGCATAACATTCATCTTCCTGGGTCTTGATTTTCTCATTCATAGAAATAGGTAGTTGCTGGAAAGATATCTAAGGGCAATTTCAGTTCAGAGCATCAAATCATAAGTCTTCTCTTTTTATATTCGGTTTGAATGTGTTTAAATGCAGTGTTTCCAAACTTAAAATTATGCAGAAGTAATGTATATTCTCACTTAATTTTTAAAATATGAATTTCCAAAGTATTTATGAATAATATGGTGTCTTAGATTTGCTTTAAAATAATTAAATGAGGACATTGTAGGGCATAGCAGGAAGGACCATAACTAAAACAGGACTACGCCTATGTTGATCATTATTGAAGCTGAGTGATGGGTACATGGGGGTTCATTTGTCCATTCTCTCTACCTTTGTATGTGTTTAAAATTTTCCATAATAAAAAGGTTATTCTAAAAAAAAATAAGATTCCTTCCTCAACCCCCCCACCCTAACAAAATTAATATCATAATGCAGTTTAGACCTAAAGGAAAACCTTGCAAATTTAATGACACTATCTCTCTACTTAACTACTATAAAATAACTATTTATCATATATGTGCTATTTTAAGTTCTAAATTCTCTTGCCCCTTTGATGTAGATGAGAAAAGTTCCATCTTTCTCCTTAATAAATAAGCATTTTGAATGGAGAGAGAACCATTTTATTTTTTCTATAATTCCTCATTTCCAAAACTATACATCTTGCCCTATCCCAAAAGTGGATGGACAAATATAGTCTGATTCTTAAGGAACTGAAATTTGGTTTTAGATATCTATAAAAGTAGAAAATAAGTTTTCTAAAGTATTTTTCAACGAACATATTTTAATATGAATGGCTAATGTAACCCAAATCTATCTTGACAGCTAAGCTGCAAAACCAAGAGGAAGGTATTTCTTTCAAGAGGCAACTTTTAACTATTGCAGTCCTTTGATAGAGGTAGAAAAAAGACAACTAAAGGGAATCATGATCTAATTACTCAGTAACAGATGAGAGAGAGCCTTCTAGGGAAATATTCATCCATGAAGACATTTTTTCCTCACTTAAAGTCATGGATGCTATAAAACCACTCCGACTACAAACAGAGAAGGCAAAATTTAACCATATCATGGGCATTTTATAGGTGGCATTTGCCTTACAGGAGCCTCATCATCTGGACTTCCCAGATTTCATATCCAAGGCCAAAATCTGTGACAGATCAATGTTTTAAAAAGTTCTTGAAGAAACTGAGCTTAGTCTCCATTTTCTCAGTCTTTGGCCCACTCTCCATTTCCACTGTATTGCCATTAACCAAATGAAGAAACTTATAGGTCTTTTTACAATTAATTAATGATTTAAATTTTATTTTGTGTCTCATATGCCCTGGGTATTTCCTTCATCTCAATTATCAGGTTTTAGCCTTCCATTTCTGTGTGATTGTTTAATGTTTATCTGAACAGCTCACCTATCAAATTCAAGAGGGCAGAGACCAAGTCTGTTTTAGCTACAACATCTGACATTTAATGGGCACACAATTCATATTTAATGTTTAATTAAATGAAATAATTATTTGAAAAGGTCTAGGTTTATCATGAAGCCTAATTTTGTCATTTTTACAAATTACTTGGCCTGCCTCAATAAAAAAAAAATTCTTAAAAATTTCACAATGGTAACATTTTAAAAATATTTTTGTCAGAACAAATTTTCATAAGACATACAGAAGGTTTTCTCATAAGCATTTTGCCACTTATTTAAAAAGTATTTATCCCCCAGGGATTTCGGCTAGCATGCTATTTTCAACCAAGTCAAATTTTACTTGAGGTGGCCATCCCTGATTTAGATACCATTACTTCCTGACACAAGACTGAATTCTGCTGTGAGAAATTTTAACTAAGCACATATTTCTCATTCAGTGTGATTCTTCACACTGCTCCATGGATTCATGACATGACATGGAAATAAAAAACTGAGACTAGTCCTTTGCAGCAAAAATCAAAAGGCTAATTTCTCTTTCCTATGTTCATGTGATAATAGCTTAGGATAGTCAACAAGAGACGTCTATTATATTACTATCTGAAAGAAAAGCTAGCATACCCAATAACTAATTTTTAAAAATCACATTTTTAAAGGTAACATTATAATTTATCTGTCTCCCAAGACGGGTTTTAAAAAAATGGTCCCCCAGAGACGGTCCTCTATTTCATTTTACCCAAAGATGACTAGATTCTGATACACAGAATTTGTCAGATATCATACATTACACTTTCCCGCCAGATAAAAGTTAATACATTTAAGAGCAATAAAAATGATCAAACTAATATAGAAACTAGGAATTTAAGCCTCTGGGACTGAGAGCACTTTCTTTCAAGCTTCACTTTCTATACCAGAGAAATAGAGATTATTTTTGTCGTTGCTTAGACTTTGGTGAGAATTTACCATTTTTCATAAAATATATTCATAAAATATTGTGTAGGTAATAGTTCAATTGATGTTATAATTTAATACTATCTTCAACACATTGTTCTGGATGAACATTACATTTAAGACAAAGAAACACATTTAAAAATATATGTATTCTTTATAATATAAAATTAAGGCATAAAAAAGCAAGATAACAGCCTACAAGCAGTCCATGTGGTATAACATGATATAGGCTATAAAATAATTTAATAGTCTTCCTGCGATGGCCACAGGAAGCAAACAAACCAAAAGCAGGAAAGCAAAAGCTGTGGCTTACTTGCAGTTGAAGAAGGTAAGGGACTCCTATCCTCAGATTCTGGGGGTATTTTTTTCTGTTTTTTTGACTCATGGATCTTTTCTTCTTCTTGGCTGGGTGTTGCAGACATTCCCATTGGGTTTTCTCTGCCAACTGAAATTAAGATTTTAAAAGATGCCATCCTTTCAAAATCACTTGCTGCTTCTCAGAATACTCACCATATGTTCAGCTATGCAAGTTTAAGTTTTGCCATTGTTTCCATTTCAATGCCTAGTCAAATCTCTTTACTCAGAATTACGTAGTTAACAGAAAATGACTTCTTATTCTTACCAGCAGGCTGTGCATAGACGGCATCACTATAAAACCTATTCATTGCTTTGCAAATCTGAACGATAGTTTAACATCACAATATGAATCAAACAACTTATTCAAAATGTTTTTCTTATAGATTCTAAATGGGAACTTCCTTAACAATCTTTTAGTTTGCCTTCCTCAAAAGGGGAAACTAAAACGTCATTCAAACAGGATTTCATGTTACCTTACTGAAATATGTGAATCAACAAAATATACATATATCTATAATAATGAAAACATTAGCTACTTTTCTACCTTTTACTTAGAAGCAAGTTGCTTCGGAGTCTGGTTTAAGAATAGGTATCTCTAAGTTAAATAATGACTTCAGCTTTATAGTATATGCTCCTAAGTGCTATTTATATTTAGGATTTCAAATTCAAGTTGTTTGTGTTCATTTTCTAGGATCAGGCATAGGCATATTGTTTTTAAATGGTGGTAATTCACACTATGAATGGCTTTAGGTTCTCATCAGCAATAAAAAATTATGTAAATTTCTGATTCTATATGATAAAGAGTAATAACAACTACTTCTTAATACCACAATTGCAGTCAACGATGTAAGATGACTCACAAAGTAAGAAAGCATAACAACCTCAAAGGTATGCTTAGTAGAAATTAGCAACACTTATCACACAGGGTGATGGTGCAGACTCTACAATACTGGTGGCTGAAGAACTGTCCATGATTACACTGTTATTTATATCCTTCAGGTGTTATAAGATATCATTTCAGACAACAATAAGCTTTTAAATACTAATCCTTATAAAACATAGTTTTTCCATGTGGTTTATATACAATGCAATGCTGAGACACTAAAAATTGATAATAAACGAATTTTAAAACATTAAAAAGAAGATAGAAATAACTAGAAATATGTTCATGGAGAATAAATAAATAATTGTAGAGGAAAAAATTAAGATTCTTATATATAGCTAAGAGTTCATTTACCAATGTAATGTAGAAATCCAGAATCTACAAAAAGATGAACTATCTTCCAGTCACTGCATAGCACTAGGAACAAATCAATGTATAAGAAATGGCTTCTGACATTGATGGGGTTACAGCCCAGAGAGAGAATACATAAACATGACCTCTGATAGATACTGACGAGCTCTTTAACTGACACAAGCACAACATGCATAGGGAGCACAGAGGAGAAAACAATTAACGTGCCAGTCCATTAGAAACAAGCCCAAAAAGGGTTGCACAACAAGGCCAGTCTATGCAGAACTGTGAAAGTAGAATGAGCATTTTACCTCTCTATCCTTCCCACACTGGCTTCTCATTAATTCTACCTCTGCTTCTCAAAAAGTACACCAATATCTCTTTATATGACACAGTAGTAGGGAATTCAGAAAGTGGAAGACATTTTCTGGAAATGTCATCCAGCACCTTCCTATCCCTCTGTAGAGAAGGCTTCCCACTTTGTCTTCAGGCCAGGTGGGTTACAGAAAGATGTTCAAAAGCCAAGTACCGAAGTGACCCTCCAATAATACAATACTCTGAACTGGAGCAACCCTTAGTAGCTCTTTGTCTGACTTTTACAATTAAAAAAAAAAAAAGTGAAAACTCTATCACTGGCAATGTAAAACAAAACCTGTGGTGAAGGTGAAAGAACCAGAGCTGTCTAGGTAGAGATGTTATCAAAAGGTATATGTTACCTATACAGCTGGATTTGGATGATTAATGACTCACTTCAGGTAGTACCTCATTATATCCAAAATTTAAGCTATATCAAGATCTACCAGACAATAAAGGCAGTAACTCTACAAAATCAACTAGGAAAAGTCTTTTGTTTTATTGAATACCTTCTATTTTAAAAGTAAAACAAGTGAAAACTTACATAATAGCAATGATTATAGTGTCACATTAGTGCATATATATTTTAAATCCATATAATCATTTTATCATCTGAAACATATTTTGTCATATTTTTCTAAGACTGTAATATACATAGTCAGAATTTTATGAATTGGATATATGACAGTATTTCATTTAGATTTTTATGCTTGAATGATCTTAGCAGACTAGAATGAAGCAAAAATGAAATTTCCAAACATATTTTAAGGCAAACTTCCATAAAACTTGAACCTGAAAGAAATTCTTATTGTAATAAAAATGTAACATCTGAACCATATCTTCAGTCCTGCATTTTTGAGGGATTACTAATAGCCAGAGTCTCACGATCTATATACAGAGGATGGCTCATACCATAAAACTGGGCTGGAATTAGAGCAAGAGGAGGTAAATTTCTGTGCAAAAGTCAAGTCTCTGTTAAAGTACTTCTAAAAACTTATAGGTTCACTCTTTCCGAAGTATTCTATAAAAGTAATAGTACACTGAAGTTAGCGAAAAGTTACATGTTATATTGATCTACAGTTCTTTAAAACGATACCTAGCAGTGTGGTCTTACTGTATGGAATTATAAATGCAGGTTTATTATCTAGAGGAACAGAATGAAGAAAACTTTCAAATTATCCAAATATCCAGATAATCAATGGAGAATCTTCTCCATAGGCTCAGTATAATAACTAATCACATAAGCCCAAAGGGAAAGATCTTTTCACACTTTCTCCTGTATATACTGTGAATATAAATTCATGAAAATAGAGAATGAAGAGGTTTTACTGCACACGCTAGCAAGAACAGCTAAATGGTAGTGGGATAAATGACTTTTATTATAAATTCCCAATACACAGTAAATTAAACCAAATCCTTGCCAAACTGTAGATGGAAAAAAATCAATCACAGAGAAATGAAATATGCAAAGTGATTAAAAGAGGTGATGAGACGGAATCTCTTGTCTTTCAAGAATCCATCGACTCTATTTGAGTGATAAAAGAAAATATGCCGTGAAGTGCTCTTCCTCTCTTTAATAATCATAACAGTAAATACTTGAACAGCACTTGCTGAGTACCAGACACTATTCTAATCATCTTACATATGTTAATTCATGTAATTCTCACACCACAACTGAGTGAAGGCACTCTTGGTCCTCACTTGACAGAACAGAGGCAGGTGGTCCAAGAGCCGTGAGAGCATACCACTGGCAAAAGGCGCCCTCCCAGGACCTGCAGTCTGGCTCTCAAAGCCTGTGTGCTGAAATCCTACCCTTGTCCCTCTACCCTGCTATACTTCTGAGCCTCTTGCTGTTTGGTGGGTGGAACCTGTCAATGAGACTGCCCTTGTCCTCGGCTGAGCAGAGCTGTGCCTTCCACGTGATTGTGTGCCATGTCAGACCAGGCAGCTTGCAGACATTTACTTGAGGTGCAGCGGCTTCCAAGGAAGCCAGGACCACTCATTCAGGTTGCATGCCTGGGGGCAACAGGTGGAGTCTCTTGAGAGTAACCTTATGATTCTCTTCCTACCACTCTCTCTTACCCTATCCAAGTCCCCTTACCACTCAGGGTACCTCACAACTTTAACTCTGCTTTCTAGACAACTATGAGGAAAAATTTACACTGAAAAAAAAAAGTTTCAGCTTAACGTTTTGGGGGGCTGCTCTATCTCTGTATTAGAATATAAACAATTCAAAATTCCCAAATGTTTTTGGGAGTGAACTTTTTTGGCATAGAGTAGGTTCAATCTATCATATGTAGATAGTCTAGTTAGAAAACATTCTATCGGGAGGCGGAGGCAGGCAGATCACAAGGTCAGGAGATCGAGACCATCCTGGCTAACATGGTGAAACCCCGTCTCTACTAAAAATACAAAAAATTAGCCGGGCATGGTGGTGGGCACCTGTAGTCTCATTTACTCGGGAGGCTGAGGCAGGAGAATTGTGGGAACCTGGGAGGCGGAGCTTGCAGTAAGCCAAGATGGCCACTGCACTCCAGCCTGGGCGACTGAGCGAGACTGTCAAAAAAAAAAAAAAAAGAAGAAGAAGCAGAAAGGGAAGGGGAGGGGAGGGAGAAAATATTCTAAAATAATAAAATGACTTGGGGAATTACTGTAACCTTTTTTTTTTTTTTTTTTTTTTTTTGCAGCTAGAGTGCGGTGGAGCGTTCTTAGCTCACTGCAAACTCCACCTCCCAGGTTCAAGTGATTCTCCTTCCAGTAGCTGGGATTACAGGCATGCACCACCAAGCCCAGCTAATTTTTGTATTTTTAGTAGAGACAGGGTTTCACCATGTTGGCCAGGCTGGTCTCAAACTCCTGGCCTTAAGTGATCCACCTGTCTTGGCCTCTCAAAGTGCTGGGATTATAGGTGTGGGCCACCGTGCCTGGCCCTACAAACTTTTACATAAACATTCTGTCACTCTTCACAAAATCCCCTAAGACAGAGTTTTTAACACTCAGAAATCCCAATGGAATGCTCTTCTTGTAAAATTGGAAAGTATTATTTTGTATTTTGAAGAAATGTTGATGCTTTCAAACCCTTCCTCAGAATTCCTAGGATTCATGAATCTTCAATAAAATTTCTAAAGCAATGTCTCTTGCATTCTTGCCCTTGTTAAAGCAGGAGGCTGCCTCTAGTAAACAGAGAAGAAAACAAACCATCTATGCTTTAGTAACAGAACTAAATTGTAGGGGCTGTAAAGAAGAATGGCTTTGTTTCTATTGGTTCTTTTAGTACTAATACCCTAACGTTGACAAATGTGTCCTTTTATTATCTCTCTCTTATGTCTTGCCACAAATTACTTTTCTTCTTCTCATTTCTTTTTCTATTGTTTCAATCTCTTCTTTTTCACCTTTTCATCTCTACCTGCTTCCTGGTCATTTCTATTTTCTCCCTGTGCTCTTCCAGCATGGCAGCTGACCCCTGCTAGCTATTTCCCACTGCTCTTTTTCTACTCCTGTATCCTTCTGCTGGCTTTGAAGTCACCTGTTTCCCTTCAGAGCTCCAGAGGCAGATGGCATATGCATTGTGTCAAGGCAGAATGCCACTCTGGGCCAGCCTGTGGGAAAATGAAGGGTGGAGGGAGTGGTGGTATGGATGGCAGTAAACTCAGGTATACTAGCCCAACAGTTTACAAAATTTTTAAAAAGGCAACTAAAGGCTGAAAAAGAGTTGATGCAGATAGAGTGAAGAACAGGGCCAAATATACCATCATGTTACATCAGGATCATTTTATTCCTATTCTAAGCTATCTTCTGTGGGATATTATATATACACATACAGTAAATATGGACTCTCATAAGCCAACAGAAGCTAAACAAAAGTCAGACCAAGAAAATGACACAGATATTGAGTAAGCCAAAATTCAGGGAACCTCACATCAAGCAAAAATTAGATAGCAAACTAAACTTCAAGATAATTGAAAAATACAATAAAGTTACTTTATTAGCCTTTGTGTTGAAACATATTTTAAGGTTTGAACACAAATACATGATTAAATAATGTCCTCATATCTTCATTTCGATTTGCTAGAGAACGTGAACTTAGATATGAGAGAAACCAGTTTCAAAATATTCACATTTCTGTCCTATCTTCAGATTTTTTCCCAAATCCTATTTTTAATCCAAATCCCATTTGTGTTGATCTTTATTCCATCTCTTTTTATACTGCAACCATTAAAAATTAATAGCAATGAATCTGAGAATATTTCTAACAGCCTCATTCCTCTCGGGGTATATGAAGCTATCCTTAAAAAACAAAGATTCAAACATGCACATGTACACAGACACACGAATGCACACATAACTTTCAAAGTTACAAAGAAGTTCAATGTAGCAAAACTTCTATACCTAATATTAATTTATCTGAAAATTTGAGGCAACCGTCTTCATTATGTTTTCCTTCCATTGCTTCTGGAATGACAACAAACAAAAAAGCCTAACAGCAGAGATTTGCCTAGTAAAAATGTGATGAAATTTTCAGACACTGTACACAAACCATCATAAAGCAAACCAAAAAGCAAAGTATGTCAGAGTAAACATACATTGGATGACTTGTGGATAGAAGCAAACATTCTCATCCTTGGTATAAATCATTGGTTTTGCCTGCCCATCTGACTGAAGTCCAACAAACAATCCTGGGCTCTTCGTAGATTCCAGGCTTATGGATGCATTCTCCAAGTTCTTCTTAATTTTAAAATGACAGTCGACATCTCCTGTACCCTACAATCAATACAAAATGATTCAATAAATATGAGCAAGTCGTAAAAGACAGAATTTAAAACCAGTCATTTTACAAGAATATAATTTTGTCTCGTTTCACATCACTATGATAAATCAAGAGACTTTTTACATAAATTGCCCTGTGTGCTTCATCCTATTTCACAAGATCCAGAAACAGAGATCACATGATGGGTTGAGGCAAGGACACATGCCTTTGGACAAAAAGCTCTGAATAGCGTAAGAGCTTCAACTAAGGAGAGTGTTGTGTATGCTGTATTTCATTTTAGAGTTGCTCACCTCTGTGGGTGAATGTAGAACATTAAAATGTGGAACTTTTCTTTTAGAAAATACTCTAAAGTGGTGGGAAAAGGGCTATTCTTACCATAGGTCAATTTACATTTAAATTTAAACTAATTTTCTGTGCTACTCTGCATTTTCCAGATTGAATTTTCATAAACAGCATGCACACAAATGATGCAAAGACTGTAGAGGAAAATATTCAAGAATTGAATGCCTAGCAGTAATCTACACACTCTCAGATTATTATAACACTTCTCCCTTCTTTAAGCCATTTATAATCTAATATTAGAAAATATTTCACTTTTCATTGTTTTAAAAGTTTCCTTACAGGATTTCAGTCCTAACTAATGAGTTTTATAAGCATGGATTAAAATTTCCACTAGTAACTATTATTTTATTTGTAATACAAACGATATTCTAGTCTCCACTCAAATGTGAGCTTCTTGTCAGTAAGAACCAAGGCAGTCTCTCTCTTTCTTTCTCTCTCTCTCTTTTTATAAATATAAAGTAAGCAATTTCTGTCTTCTGTTCTTGTTCTAAATTCAGTAAGATTCTGGCCTTGCATTGTTCATGGTCGAGTAGAGAAGACAAATCACGTACACAGATAATAAGTAGGGAAAGATGAGCTGGGGGTAGGGATAGGAAATTTCAGGTACAGGGGCACCATAAACTAAGGCAGAGGGGCCACAGGCAGCATGATGTATGAATGAACAAGCACCTTAATGATGCTGAACAATAGAGAAGGTAAGTGCAGAAGAGCAGCTTCGGTTTGTTTGCAGCAAAGGAAGTTTAGGCCTTATCATAGACCATCTGTTTTCTTTCCTGAGATTCCCAAACCTCCTAAATGATGTATTTGCATACATTAAGGTTTACTCTTTGTGCTATACAATTCTGTGGGTTTTAACAAATCTATAATGTCTTGTATCCGTTACTACAATAGCATACAGAATAATTGTACTGCCCTAAAGATTCTCTATGCTTCATCTATTTATCCTTTCCATACTTCCCTCAAATCCCTAGCAAACACTGATCATTTTACTGTGTCTATTATAGCTTTGCATTTTCCAGAATGTCCTATAATTAGAATGGGGTAATATGTAACCTCATCATACTGGCTTCTTACACTTAGTAATATGCAATTAAGTTTCCTTAATGTCTTTTCATGGCTTATTTCTTTTTACTGATGAATAATATTCCATTGTATAAATGCACCAAAATTTATAGATTCACCTACTGAAGGACATCTTGGTTGTTTCCAGTTTGGGGTGATTATGAAAAAAGCTGCTATAAACATTCATGGACATGTTTAAGCTCTGGGTCTAGATTCATTTGTAGGCATATGGACATCCAATTGTTCCAGCACCATTTGTTGAAAAGTCTACCCTTTCTCCATCGAGTTACCTTTGCTCCTTTGTCAAAGATCACTTCACTGTATTTGTGTGGGTCTATTTCTAGGCTCTCCATTCTGCTCCACTGATCTCTGTGCCTTTTCTTTCATCAATACCACACTGTCTTGATTTCTGTAGCTTTATAGTAAATCATAAATTTAGGTAGTTTCAGTCTTCTAACTTTGTTCTTCTTCAGTATTACGTTGGCTATTCTGGGTCTGTTGCCTTTCCATAGAAACTCAGGACCAGCTTATAGATAGTCACAAAATAGCTTGCTGGAATTTTGACCAGAATTGTATTGAATCTATCGATCAAGTTGGTAAGAACTGACAACAACCTTGAGTCTTCCAGTATATAAACGAGGAACATCTGTCCATTTATTTAAATTTTCTTTGATTTCTTTCATCAGCATTTTCTAGTTTTCCACATAGAGATCCAGAATATATTTTGTTAGATTTATACATTTTTGTACTAATATGACTGGTATTATGTTTTTAATTTTAAATTCCAATTGTTCATTGCTAGTATATAGGAAAGCAATTAAAATTTGTATATTAGCCTCATACATTGCAACCTCACTATAAACACTTACTGATTCTGAAATTTTTTTGTTGATTCTTTGGGATTACCTACATAAAAACTAATATCATCTGTGAGCCAAGACAGTTTTATTTCTTCCTTCCCAATCTGTATACATTTTGTTTCCTTTTTCTGTCTTATTGATTAGCTAAGACTTTCTATATAATATTGGAGTGGTGAGAGATGTCCTTGCTTTGTTCCTGATCTTAAAGAAAAAGCATCCAGTTTCTCACTATTAAGTATTATATTAGTTGCAAGTTTTTTGTAGGTATTCTTTTTTTTTTTAATTATACTTTAAGTTCTAGGGTACATGTACACAACGTGCAAGTTTGTTACATATGTATATTTGTGCCATGTTGGTGTGCTGTACCCATCAACTCGTCAGCACCCATCAACTCGTCATTTACATCAGGTATAACTCCCAATGCCACCACCCCCCCTCCCCATAATAGGCCCCGGTGTGTGATGTTCCCCTTCCCGAGTCCAAGTGATCTCACTGTTCAATTCCCACCTATGAGTGAGAACATGTGGTGTTTGGTTTTCCGTTCTTGCGATAGTTTGCTGAGAATGATGGTTTCCAGCTGCATCCATGTCCGTTTGTAGGTATTCTTAATCAAGTTGAGAAAGTTCCCCTCTATTCATAGTTTACTGACAGTCTTTTTATTTCATCACCAATATTCAATCAGCCATTAATATTCAGTAATTCACATGATCTATCAAATTTGACTCAAACTCTCCACTTTTGTCATTAATTCCCAGACTGTAGGCCCCATCACCTCATTCCTAGATCTCTACAATCACTAACTCAAGTAAAGATAATATTTGTGAATTCTTTAACTAATATATTTTCATTGCTAATTCTTCCAAGGCTCTCTTACCCACTAAATCAACAATACTCATTGTGTTGGTGTAAGTAGAATCCAGCCTAGAGCTAAAAAATCTTTGCTCAGCTTTGAGCTTCCAAATGAAAGGGTTTTAACAAATCTGCAGTAAATTAAGATTTTAAAAGGTGCTTTTTATTTGTAAAAGCAAGCTTTATTGAGAGAGAAAATGGTTGATAAAAGAAATTCCAAAATTGAACTTAATATTCCTAGAACCTGGAGGACTGGACACCTGAGAGTTTAAATGATGAAGCCACTGAAAAGGTAGATACCATATATTACATAGAGAAAACTGCTACCCCACAAGAAGAGAGGTGCATCCAGTTCTGAGAGGAGGGGCCTGGGATAAATGGCTAGAAGAGAGACATGGATTTCTTACATCAACTCCACTTGAAGTTGATTCTTGGTGTAACAAAGAAATAAGGGGCATTAGAATCATCCATATATTTTGGAAGAGAATCTCAACAGCTGAGGGGTTATCCCAGGAAACTTACACACTCCACTTAGAGCATCCCAGTGTTTAGCATAGTACTAGAGCACAATGGGAATATCCAGAAGGTGGATTAGAAATGTTCAAGGAAGGAGTCTGAGAAAGTAACACTGATGCAGCTTCCTAGTTTCTCCGCAGCTCACATGGAGACATCAGGGGACCTAGAAGTTATCCCATGCCTTCATGGCAGACTCAATTATTGAGAGGACTAGAAATCTGGGAGAGAGCTGGATTTGCTACAAGCTGCCCATTAAGTTAGGACCATTAAGACCAGAGGTTACGCAAGACCCTCAAGCCCTATGTTGCCCAAAATGCTCTGATTATAATATCAGTCATATTTGAAATTAAACACAATTGGTATACCCAAGTTCAGGGACAAACTAAATCAGCCACACTTCCGTAAAGACTAGTGTGGACCTAAAGAACGGTCTATGTCCTGTGGCCTTTTTCCATGACTTTTTTTTTTAAGTCTTTGTGCCAAGATATCAAACAAGGATGAGGGAAAGGAGAAAAAAAGAATAAATAATTAAAAAAATAAAACATTACTATTGGCCTGTAAAGGACTAATCTTTCAACTAGATAGAAACCAAGATATACAAGCATATTCTGACAGAAAAAAAAAAAATCCATCAGTCGAACTAAGCACACTGGAACACACTAGAAGTACTAGTGCACTTTAGATAAATTATAGGCTTTTCAGTCAAACTGTGTTTCATTATAGTAATCTCATAGTTATTCTTCCAAACTTCTGGTTCTCAATAAACTAGCGCATCTTCTACAGTGAGGCCAGATTTATGAACTTGAATATTATTCCCAAACCACTATCTCCCCAAACTTACAACAGATAACATATTAAAAATCAACGTCATTTTACATTAAAGATCTCAAGCAATTGCTCATGACTCACACAACAGAAAATTCTTTCTCAGACATATCTTTTTCCAAACCAACACTGAACTTGGTACTTACTCCTGGTATTGCACTTGGCACACTATGGTGTATTTGTCTATTTATGTTCTTCTTTTCCCCTTTTAAATCACAAATTTCCTGAGATCGGGGAGCATGTCTTAGTATATCTACTGTAGCACTAGTGACAAGCAGTTTCTGCCTTTCAGTAGAAACTCAGTATCTGTTAACTCTAAATTTCTTTTTACTAATTTCTAATCTCATAATTTGTTCATGTAATGTCCTCTCCTCTCTTTGATAAAGAAAAGTGGAATTATTCTCTCCCCCTAAAATTCACCATTCCAGGAAACTTCTCTTACTCACCCACTCTGCTCAAATCAACCTGCCTCTCCTGAGCGTTCACAGAAACACTTGAACCACAACTTGGAAAGGATTACCAATTAACTATTGTTCTCC